ATAAGGCTGCAGGCCTGGCTGAAATACTCGGGCGTCAGTGAAGGTCACCTGTCAACTTACAGTAGTGCCTGAAGATTACTTTGTGCGGCTATAAACGACCGTTAAATGAAATGATGAATTTTTGAAGGATTTTGAAAATGGAAAATATTAGTCATGCCAGCCCAGCATCATCAACATTGAAAAATGCCCCAGCATGAAGTGGTTTAAGTTAAACATCTTGTGGTTCAATCTGAGACAGGTTGACTGCTGATGAACTTGTGATGGACTTCTGAGGACCTGAGTGTGTTACACAATGTCCTTGCTGCAATAGCAGTCTGTACATCAAAAGTCCTCACAAGTCTAGCACTAGCCATCCAGTCACTGGCTATCCCAGTGAAGTGTGGCAGAAGCATTCCTTTGGCATTATTCACCCTGTTAATAATGACTGGTCATGCGACTGGACCAGGGAAAGGACCAGTGATGGACTTTGACTATGTTCTCACCTGAAATCACAATAGTGCAGACCTCCCAACCCCTCCCGATTTTGCAGAAAATTTCCGCTTTTTCACTTCCATTCCCATTTTGCTCCTAAAATTTCTGCCAAATCGCAATTTTGACATGCCTATGTGTTACCGGAAGCTGACCATGTAATCTTGTGCATGTACCGTAATCCAACTCATCTGACTTACCCGAATAGTCAATGCAGTGCACGTTGCATGAGCCATGCCCGTGGTGCACCCTCTTTTGATGCATTCCAGCTTTGAGATGGATGTGGTACATGGACATAATACCGAAATTGTTCATGGACAAAAATGCCCTCTATCAACAAGTTACATTGTAACTAACACTGTATAAGTTTCGCAGTGCCCAGTTTCACTTATAGCCACAGTTATGAACGTTTGAATCCAAGACTAAGCACTACTGTGAAATCAACCAAGATCATGTCAAGTGTGCAAGCACCACACAGTGAATTTCACGGTGAATCGACACATTCCATAGATAAAAATTATTGCGGACCATTTCAGATTATGTAAACTGTTGTTGAAATCAAAATTTTATGGAATCAGTGAGTACGTGCAGCACTGTACATTTATCACGGATACAGATTCAGATTGTTTACAATACAGCACTGATTTTCACTTGTTCTAGGTAATACGGAGAATATTCTTATTTTTCATGAAAAATTCCGAATTTTGGGAGGATTTCAAATTCTTAAAAGCTAATGTCTGGAGGTCTGCATGATGGTCTGCAGTCGTAGAAAAAAAAAGGAAATTAAAAATGGGGACATGAGTGAAACATTTGGAGAAAGTTCTTAGTAAGTTGTTAATAACCTTAAAATGTTAATAACCTTCAAAAATTGGTTTGCTTCACACAGCCCGAGGAGAAGCATCCCAACCATCGTCCGTAGCAGCATCACCAACATGCCAAACAGAAACCAGCAGCATTGGAGCAGCATCAACTACAGGCAGCCGAGTCAGTTTACCAACCAGCTGCAGCGACAACAACACCTTCAGCGGCAGCAGCAACAACAGCAGCAAGTGCTTCAGCATTGCCAGCAGGTGCTCATTCGACAACAGCAGCAGTTTTGGCAACAACGACAGATTCTCCTACAACAGCAACGGCAGCAGCAGCGACAACAGTACTTGCAGCAGCAACACCAATATCAACTCCAGCGTCAGTTCCAGCAGCAAGCTGGCAGGAGCTGGAGGTGGTAGTTCCAACAACCAACTAACAGAAAAGGGGTGAGTGTGGTCTCCTTCTCCAGGTTTTTGTTAAATTTGTGTAAGCACCCACTTCCGCTGCTCTATGAAGCTAACTGAGATGCAGCCATACCAGTTTGAAAATTTACACTTCAGCAAATGTACATGAACCCGTATGAGCATGTGGTGAGTTCTCTCCTCAGGGACGTTATTGTATGTAAAAACCATATTATCTTTTGTTATTGCTCGAACCAGATTCCTTTGTTTTGTCCCAGCTTTCGCTCTATTAACCCAGATATACCGGCATACATCAGTTTGTTTAATTGTACCTTCATCAGGGGTATCAAGCCACAGCTCATCACATCTACGGCCAATCAAGATATTTCATTACAGTCACTAAAACCAGAGCAGGTCAAGATGGCCCACGAAAATAGAACAAGATCACCTTCTAACCTGTTGCAAGTCGTCAACCAACAGTTGAATCCAGTCAAGACCCATCCAGTCACCTCTAAGAAAGGTAAGCTTTTCGGTGTTTCAGGTCACAGTTGAATGAAGAATGAAAGAGATGTACATGTATGGATCCAAGACAGGCGATTTGTTGGTGTGCACGTAGGTACTGGCACAAGGTAGAGAAGTTTTCAGGAGTTTTTGGAGCACAGGTATACCTGTGCTTTTACTACTTACCCAACTCAAACAGGGAAAAACTTGGCTGAGCTTATTCTAAGCATGGAACACTTGGATTTGTCTTTGTCACCAGTCAATTACTAGCATGAGTAAGTTACCCAACTAGAAGAGGTGTCTTTGATATGACGTTGCCCTGCTAGGGACTGCTCTGTCAATTTGGAACCGTTGTTTTTTATTGTTCAAATTTCTGTGTAATTCAATTCCCCTCTGTGTAGAGTCCTGTTTGTTGTCGTGTTCCATCAATGCTGCTCGGGATCCAAGAATCAGAAGGCTTCACAACCAACCAACACCGCCATCCTCATCACAAGCAGGCCCTCAAAAGACATCTCTGCAGACTGCAGTGAGCTCGTCTCCTGCTGAAAGCACACCGTTAGCCCAGAAGGAAGCTCTAGAGACTGCTCCTTGTGCAACGCAGAACAGCTCAAGTGCACCAGTCACGTCAAGAAAGCCTCCAAGTCTGAGCAACCGACCAGCCAAGTCCATCCTTAAAGGAGGCCAAAATCCAACATCATTTGTCACAGTTGATTCAGAGAATAGGCCAAGCAGCCCTCCATGTGAGCAGACCTTGAGTGGCTCCTCAGATGCATCAAGGAAGGTGAAAATCAGTCTGTCACAGTATAAAGGGAAAGCTGATCCCAGGTCAAAGGTGCCCCCTGACAAAGTTGAAATAGGCAGAGAGGAAGGCCAGCCCAAAAGTTCATGTACAGGGATGTGCAAAGTGGAACCCAGTGCAGATATTAAACAAATTGTGTTTCTGCCCCCACATCAAAATATCAAAATTACCCTCAGTGGAGACTCAGTAAGAAGTATTTTGCTTCCGGAAAAGCAAAACCGTAAGGATAAGCCAGACAGTGAAGATTTGGATGCTGTTGGAATGAACATGAATGGTGCAGATGAGCAAGAACCTGGGAGAACTTCAACTGATCATGCTTTACCTTCAGGGAAGCCAGCCTTAAAACTGCAAAATGGCAATAAAAAGGATTTGAGGATGGTTGTTGACCAGAGCTCCCCTCAATCCAGTGCTCCTTCATCTGAGGCAAATAATCTCCTAGCTACTCAGCCGAACCTAGTTATCACCATTCCAAGAGACGGCTCAGGGGAATCAACACCCAGTGACATGACAGAAACTGGAGTTGTACCAAATGACAGACAGCTCACAGATGATACAGCCACTACCACAGTAACAACATTTCCCGAGAGCAGAGAGGTGAGCCTGGAAACCTCTATAACCCTTACACAACTTGAGCTTGAGGATTCCATTTTCAACCTCACAGCAGATGCCGTGGGGAACACCACAGCAGAGGAGACTCACAAAAGGGAACATCTTAACAAGCTGTCTCCCAATTCCATCAGTCGGCGACTCCAAAGCATCAAGTATGAACTTGAAGCATTCTGGTCAGAATTGCGCAAGTTGGACATGCCAGATGAGCTACAAGTGGATGAGGCACTTCCCACTGACCCACGCAGATGTAATTTGCACAACAGTAGAAAATTAACGCAGAATGGAGAGTTTGGTGAAAATGATCTTACTGCTTGGGCGGCTAATGATATTCTGGCAGACATTACGTCAGAGCTCTCTGCCTGCTTAAACTCAACTAGGGTACTAAAGGAGGAGCAGAGCCAAGTATCAGAGTGTTTGTCAAAGCACCTTCCAAAATTTTCAAAGCTAAGAGGAATGGCAATGAGCCCAAGGATGAACGGCAGTTCACCACAGGAGTCATCCAACAAGCTGAGCTCCATAAATGAATTCATATCAGGGCTTCGTGAAGAATTTTGCCGAAGAGTAGAGGATATCTGTTTCAGTGCAGCTGACTATTCAAGTCCAGAGAAGGTGGTTGAAGTCAGAGCAGAGTCTGAAAGTTCTGTCCATTCCTTGGACAAAGATCTCGTGAAGAAAATCCAGCAAATGCTAACAGCTGCTCGTGCCCAGGCTTCTTTGGTGCAGGAGAACTCTAAAGAACCTGAAGGAACAGTTAAAATTGAAAAGGCGAGTGAAAACACAGCTACTCTGGAATTGAAAACAAACTACAGCCTGAACACTAACTTATCTCTCCTTTCATCCAAGGAGAAAGTAACCAAAGAAGTCGAGATGGCAGAAGTTGGGGTGGAGAGTTCATCTTCACCTTTGAAGGAGAAACCTGAAAAATCCATGGAGACAGAAAAAGGGAAAGAGGTCCAGGTGAAAGGAAAATCAAGGTCTTCAGTACCCGAGAGGAAAAGTGCCAGTTCCTCCCCACAGGCATCCCCTGACAGCTGTAAATGGGGAAAATTCAAAATGAAGCTGTGGGGTAAGCGGCCCACCAAGCAGCGTAAGATCATGAAGGCCACTTGGATAAAAGTAGAAAAGCCAAAGCCATCATCAGAAGTGTCCACCGAACTCTCAACAAAAGCAGAGTGTGACACCACCTCAGATGACACTAAAGACCCAGTGGTGAAGGAAGATGACAGAGATGGTGACACAGAGGAATGCAAGGAGCGCAAACTCAGTGTCTCCGAGGAGCAGGCAGTGGAAGAAATGTGTGCCAAGCTGTTAGGTGATGAGAAGGCTTTGTCTGAAGAGAAGCTCGCCGTCACAGGAACAATTCCTACTCTTCTGAATCGCACCACAAGTCATGCTTCATCAGTTGCCAAGCGTTCCTCTAGTGGACCCGCAAGCTTGAAGACTGCTGCTGGGTTTAGTCGGCCACAGGGCCAGGTAAAACAAGGAGTGGTTCTCCAGCCTGGTCAGTATCAGCCTCCATATAACCCACAAGGGCATGTGAACCCAGTGAAAGCTCAGTCGCAGCAATCTCAGGCAGTTCATGCTACTGGGCAGTACAGCTTGAACGGTGCATCATGTCAGGGATACTTTCAGCAGCATCCAAGCCACCCCAACTTGCAGCTACCAGGCTACGTGCAACAACAGGTTCCATCGAACTTTCTATCAAGTTGCCAGCAGAACCCTAATTCCATTCAGCAACAGTATGCCAATTATGGATATGGCAGTGGTTCAGCACAAGGGATGACAAGCGTGAGACCTCCCATTGTCAGCTCAGAGATGAGACATTGGCATAGCGGTGTTGGACCCTTGCAGACCAATACAGGTGTTGGACCTGCCAATATGGGACCACGACCTACTAGCATGGGACCAGAACATAGCAATATGGGACTTGGTCCTAACAACTTGGCACCTGGCCCTAAGAACACGGGACTAGGCCCTAACAATATGGGACCGGGCCCTAACAGTATGGGACCTGGCCCTAACAACATGGGACTTTGTGTTAATAACATTGGTACTGGACCTGCCAGCATTGGACAAAGACCTACCAATATGACTCCTGGACCCAATAACATGGGATCTGGCCCTAATAACATAGGTCCTGGATCAAATAACATGGGGCAGGGAATTACCAACAGCATAGGACAAGGGTCTACCAATGTGGGACCAGGACCTGGCAGTATCATCCCAGGACCACGTAACATGGGGAGTGGCCCTATCAACAGGATGCCAGGACCTACCAACACTGTACCAGGACCTAGCAGTATCGTCCCAGGACCTAGTAACATGGGGAGCAGCCCTATCAATAGGATGCCAGGACCTACTAACATGGGACCTGGACATCACTTCTTTGGACCTGGGGCTTACAATTCAGGGCCTAATAATTTTGGATATGGCTCAAACTATATGAGCCCTGGACCTAACAGCATGGGACCAGGAGCAAACAACATCGGTGCTGGACCAAACAGTGTGGGCCCCAGCCCAAGCAGAGGACCTGGACCAAACAACCTGGCTCCTGGAACCTACAACATTGGACCAGGAGCTTACAACATGGATTCTGTTCCTTGTAATGCAGGACCAAGGCTTAATCAGCCAGTGAGACAGCAGCCACCAGTACCTGGGTTAGACTGTGAAGGTAGGCAAGAGTTTTACTTGGCTTTGAACGACAGTACAGCATATGAATATGTCTTTAATTTCAATGTTTACTACTCGCACATGTATTTCACAACTCAGTTAATGTTTACCGATCCTGTAGATCTAACTACTGCCAATAGTGCTACAGTAGACGCCATTTATATGACTAATCAGGAACTCCCAAATACTGACATTTCTCACTGTGCAACAAAATCTGGGTCTGAATCCAGAGCAGGCATTAGAAAGGATGACATAGTGACTGAAAATAATATCTTTACAGGTGTAAATACAGGGTTAGCAGTATGTGAGGACTTGGTGGACAACACATATCATGGTAAGAGCTCAGAAGCTCATGTTGGACAATGTGATTCAGAACTAACCGATCATTCAGAATCCAGAGATACTTTGGTGGTAGTAAAACAGGTTAGCTTTCAGGAACCTGAAGAAAATGCCCATGTACCTGTTTCAGAGGCTTTGGTTCCAGTTCCTTCTCCCTTTTTAAGACCAAGAGTGTTAGAAGCAACTGACAAATGCTGTGCAAGAAGTCTTGAAACTTCAGTTGAACCAGTTGAAGGCAAGGTGGTTGGGAGTAAAACTAGTCCAGAAGGTAGCATGGAAATCTGCATCTTTGAAGCTGCTGTTCCGCAGTTCTCTGAAACTTGCATTATAGAAGATGCTAAGGTTAGTGCTTCTCTAAAACTTACCAAGATGTTAGATGTCAAAGAGGTCTCCCCAAAAGTTGCTGAGGAGGACAAAGGTGGACAGCTCAATTCATATATTGTTTCTCGCCTGGAACAACAGGATGTTAGAGCTCCTTCTGAAATGTCTGGGACGATGATTGATAATCTTGATGAAAGCAGTACCCTTTTAGACTCTCGAAGAAAAAGCAGCAGTACTGAGAAGCAGACTGAAAGTGATAAATCACCCAGGGAATCTGAGAGTTTTTTCCTTGCTTTGTTGGAAGTGGTGCAGTGGAGAGTTTTCTTGACATCAAGAAACAAAACCAGACAGCAAATGTAGATGACTCCTCTGTGTCTGTCCAAGCTAAGGGTTTATTAGTTATTGGCAAAGCTGGGGAAGAAGCCTCTGGGAAAACAAACCCTCTGAATTTCAAAGAAGGCAGTTATCAGGTGTCAGAGCCAAGGGATAATGACCAGAAGAAGATCCATATTAATAAGTTAGACTCTCGTAAAGATGGTTTGGCAGTTTGCCCCCAGTCTACCACTGAAAGCTGTGAAAGCTGTCCTGAAATCAGAGGGAAGGATTCTGATGAATCCAGTGAGTTACTGAGCTATCTACCTCAGGGTGTTGAGAGGGGTATCATGAACACCTTCCTTGATGATACAGAGAGCTGGAAGAAGCAGAAAGGGGCACTTATTCATTGCAAAGTATTTTCCAAGGTGGAAACCTCCACTGTAACTAAATGCCAGAAGTCAAAACCAAGAATAGTTGAGCTGTCCACTGACACAGATTCAGATACATGTAATGCTCAAAGTCAGATGGTTATAAAGTCACCTGTAAAGATGAGATTGGCACTCCAGAACACCAGAGTCAACACAGAAAGGCTTCACTTCTCTGGAAAATCTGATGGCAAGTCCGACTTCCCTGAAGGCAGTACACTGCTTTGTCCACGTTCCAGACTAGCAGCAACGAATATGTTGAGCCCAGTTCCTACGTCTTCAGTGTCAAGTGGAATATCAAAGCAGGCATCGCTTCCATCTCAGCCAGCGAAAGGGGAAGATCACAGTACCTGTGTGCATGACAGAGAGAGAATTGAGACTGGCCCAAGCAGTGTTCCAGTATCTCCAACCTACCCCAAGTCCAAAACTACTGCTAGTCATCCCAGCACCATCTATAACACCACACGGCCAGGCAAGCAGGTGGTAACATTTGTGTCAACGGAAGATCTACTTTCTCCAATAAGGCCACCAATTTGCGTAAAGTTAAGTGCAAGGTCACCAAACAGTCAAACTGTAGTGCACACATCTGGACCTGTCAACTTGGATCCAGTTAATCAAGATGCAGAGGGTACAATATTGTGTCATACTGGGTGTTCTTTTGGTAAATCAGCTCAGTCTCATGAGGCTTCTACACTTGGATCACCTAACTCTAGATTGATTCCAGGAACCCATCCCATCCGGACTGTCACAAGACCTATGGAGGGCTGGACAGCTAGTCATGAATGCCGTTTCCACCCTCTGCATCTCGAGTCGTTCAGATTGTTTACCTAAGCCCCAAAGATGAGCCATCTTATAGTTCCAAGAGGGTCAGTGTGACAGTCAAAGGAAGTCCAATCACAAGCTTTTCTCCAGGCAAAGGAAAACTGAAGCTCAACATGCCCAAGAGGAAACCACTGGCTTGGTCTGATGGTAGTCCTTATGGGTGTAAAGTAATTCCTGGAGACCTGCTTGATGGGTGCAGTTTGCCTGAAAAGTCTGAGAGCATCACTCCTCCAGGAGACACTGGAGATGCCAAGAACTCAATGCTGCCCTCACCAGTAAGCAGTAGGACCTTGAACCCAATGAACCAGTCTCTTTCATGAGATGATGAAGGTGCTGAAAAGACAGTAAGGTATCCAGAAGCAAAGTCTATGTTGTCTGAAGGGAAACTCAAAGAGAAGAACAGACAAGCCAGGAACCACTCACTGATTTCAGGACAAAGTGATTCCAGTGTCAGGAAGCCAGACAAGGCACCATCAGCTACTCATTGCAGCAGCAATACTCTCCCATTCCCAGGAGGTTGCCAGCATCCTCGAAAGTCAGCAAGAGGAAAAACCAAGCCAGAGAGTGGCAGTGGAAATTACAGTGTGGAACACGTACCTGGGCAGGGTCTTAAGTCCTCCCAGAGTGACAAATTGGACCTTCCAGCAGACTTCGAGCATCTCGTCGAAGAGGTGACTGCAAAGCTCATCAAAGTGAGAGAACAGTTTAGTGGAGGTCGCTCTTGTGATCAGAAAGTTGTTCAGCCTGGAATCCAAGATGACATTGGCAAACTGCAGCAGCAGCCTGGTTTGTATCATTCCAACCCAACTTACAAAACCTCAAAACCATGCTGCCTGACAGTGAACCCTGCAGGCAATAGTGTACTGGGCGAACCTGGGGCATCCCTCTCACTGATTGGGACTCCAGACCCCCACTCAGACCCAAGTTCATCCTCTACACCAAAGCGGAGACTGGCTGACTGGCCCCTGAGAAGCAGCCCCAGCAAGTGTTCAAGAACCTTAGCCAGCCCCCAAGACCACCGAGTGGGTGATGTACAAGATAGCCCGATTGTTGCTGGCCACTCCGAGGTAAACTGCCCTGCAGTTCCAGTCAACACTCTGCACCACTGTTGTTGCACGCTGCTTACATAATCTTTTGTAACGGAGTTCTTTGTTAACACATGTTGCAGTAATTATTACCGCCACCATGTTCACTTTGAATGCTCATTTCTGCACCTTTGTATACGTAAACAGTTGTTGACTAACATTAAAGATACCTCAGCCCTACAATAGAAATCTTACCCATCCTTTCAAGTATGTAATCCGTTCTATGTCTCAAAATTTTCAAGAGTTCAAACTCTTGTGTCCTTCCTATATGGTTGGACTAAGCAGTGACTGTTTGGTACTCAGATGGATGGTTGGACTAAGCAGTGACTGTTTGGTACTCAGATGGATGGTTTTACTAAGCAGTGACTGTTTGGTACTCAGATGTACAGTTGAACCAATCAGTGACTGTTTGGAACTCAGATGGACGGTTGGACTAATCAGTGACTGTTTGGTACTCAGATGGACGGTTGGACTAATCAGTGACTGTTTGGTACTCAGATGGACGGTTGGACTAAGCAGTGACTGTTTGGTACTCAGATGGTTGGAACTAAGAAGTGACTGTTTGGTACTCAAATGGATGGTTGGACTAAGCAGTGACTGTTTGGTACTCGGATGGTTGGACTAAGCAGTGACTGTTTGATACTCAGATGGATGGTTGGACTAAGCAGTGACTGGTACTCAGATGGACGGTTGGACTAAGCAGTGACTGTTTGGTACTTGGATGGTTGGACTAAGTAGTGACTGTTTTGTACTCAGATGGACAATTGGACTAATCAGTGACTGTTTGGTTCTCAGATGGACGGTTGGACTAAGCAGCGACTGTTTGGTACTCAGATGGACGGTTGGACTAAGCACTGATCGTTTGGTACTCAGATGGACGGTTGGACTAAGCAGTGATCGTTTGGTACTCGGATGGTTGGACTAAGCAGTGACTGTTTGGTACTCAGATGGACAGTTGGACTAAGCAGTGACCGTTTGGTACTTAGATGGTTGGACAAAGCAGTGACCGTTTAGTACTCAGAATGGACGGTTGGACTACGCAGTGACTGTTTGGTACTCAGGTGTACAGACCCAGAGGATTGGAGGAAATCCCAGAACAATTGACATAGTTGCTTTATTGGTTTGTTTAAAATGTAGTTCACTGCATAATTTTGAAATGTACTTTTTTCTTTAAATGCTGTTGAAGTGGAGTGGATATCAACTTACTGACTTCCATTGATCTGTTTCAATTTTGTGGGTCTTGCAAAATTAAACTCTAAGCAGCCACATTATTAAAATCATAATACACATCACAGTTTGAGAAAAGAAGTTTTTCTTGCCCAGGTTTGAATAGCAAGCATACATGTATCTACTAAGCCAAATTTTGATATTTGGAAAATGGCATTCTATGTTTCATAACCATTTTTTGTTCATTCTCAACTTGCCATCTTCACAGAAGATACCCCTAGTAAGTACATGTATAACCTGTGATAGTCTTCCCATTCATAGCCCATTGTAGTCTCACCATTCATTTCCATAGGGTTTTAACCTTTGGACCCTAAGGATTTGTGGTTTTTCTTGGAGCCAGTGATGTGATTGACGTCATCCTTTCTTTTTGCTTTGAACACAAAGCAAAGATTTCAGCGTGGATCGCTGACCTCCCCCTCCCGTTTTGCTGTATGTGGTGCTGGGGAAAAAACCATTTCATCATCCTCAGTTATAGTATGTTTTGTTTGCTGTAGCTTAGCTTTGCATTCACACCTAACAAAGCAGTTTGGCAAGCTTTGCTGTCGTTCAGCTTGGTTGATGGAACAAAATTGTCCAAACTAGACAATGCTTGACGTGGTTGATTCTAACGCTTTTTAACCAGACATCTCTATGTAGTACTTTATTTGCGCATATTTTCTGAACGATCCACACATCAGCACTGGAGGGCTTCTGCCGCAAAAGTTTCGGGCGTAGACTTAAAAATGTTACATTCTTGCACTAGTTATATTATCCCAAGTTTTGTTACCATGACGTGATTAACTCACAGACATTGTAACTATGTGTACATGTACATGTACCTGTGTTTCATTTATCAAGATAATCATCTTATACATATGCATGTACATACCTTCACACAAAGGTTTTGACTCCATTCTTAAACTCAAGAGGGTGCTGCATACCTGTAGCCAGGATGTGAGAGCAAGTGAAGGTCACTTGCATATCACTGAGTTTTTCAAACAGGTTTTTGCTCTGACTAGATCACTTTGAGAGAGAAGTGAAAATGACTTGTCTCTAGTCCATCAATTATGTTTGAGATATCAATTGGAGGGGTCCAGAGACCAGACAAGTAGGGGAAAAATACAGAATTTTCACTTGGTCGTGCAGTAGTTTAAGACTTATGTCAAGGAAGTGGAGAAATGTCTGCACAGTGGCTGTGCAACAGTGGACATTTTAATGTAGCACTTACCGGTGGCAGTGCGCAGAAGTCTGGGTATCAGACATGGACGTGTGAAAAAGAGCAAGATCATAGACATTTTTTAGATAAGGCTGCTGAGCACTTTTTTTTTTGTAGTTTCTGTAATTTGTTTTTAACCAAGCCAGAATGAATGCCTCCTGCTTTAACCAAACAACCTGTTTTGTTTTGTTTTTCTTTGCCTTTAATAACAGCTTATTGTTGGCCTCACACAGGTGAAAACAATTTATTCTCTGTTGTGTGAAACAGTTTTGCAGAGTTGTCATGTTACCTGCTGCAAATCACATCACTGTTTGGTCCACGTGTCAGTTGTCATGTAAGAGGATGAAAGGCTATAAATAGCACAAAAGGAATGCTTTCACCAGGGCTTGATGGAACAACTACATTGTAGGGACTTGACAGTGGAAAATTGGAACTGTCTTGCAGTGGCTTGATAACAACTCTGCTTTACTGTGTATTTAGAAAGTTCCTGACCTGTATGAATACTGTCCAAGCTTTGTTGAATTTATATTGTTATTGAGAAATTGGAAGCAGTGGCTGGTTGCATTTCTCTGTTTTGCAATTTCCTTGGTGTATCCTTTCGCTTGTGTTTAAGTACCTTCTTATGTTTGTAGTCCAAAAGTACACGTTGCACATTTCTGTTTGCTTGTATCTGACTTTTCCCACTTAACTTTTGTGAGCTGGTTCATTTTCGTCATTGCATGCCTTGTCAATTTTATTTTAACTTGAGGTTTAACAGTTCACGTGGCATGGAATAAATCACCTCTAAGATTAGCTTCTCTTTATGCCAAATACATGATATAAACTGTGCATATTGTTTCATATGCTGAATGACTGTTCCTAAAGTTACACATGCACCCTGATCCACAACAGAACCTTCAGTTGAGATAGTACTTGTGACAAGCAGTGCACCAATTTATCCTCAAGGGAAGAAAATAAGGTTTCATTACAACAGTTTAGAATCAAGGTATCAAATTGGATCACCTTTTCCTTGCGTTTATATGAGATACAAATTGAGATTTGCAGTTGCTTTCGGCGGGGAGATGCTCAGTGTTTGTAAATCTCTGACGTACATGTATTGTACACCAGCTGCATAATTTTAGACAATATAAAAACTCCATTTGATGGGTCATAGCAATTGTATCTGACTTTCATATTTTTAACACAGGCCCAGGACAGACCTGGGGATCAAGATTCTAAACACCACGGCCAGCAAATCTCCTCCCAGAGCCCCAACCCGTCCACTGATGGCTCAGTCACAGACTTGACGTTAGGGTGTGGGGGACCCAAGGATTCTGGGGCAGATCCCACACCTGCCAAAAAACAATTAAAAGGGCCTGCCTGGTCCGAGAGGGGTTCCTCTGATGACCGGGCCTGCATGCCAGTACCATTGGTGGACAGGTTGGAAGAGACAGGATCAGCCAGGGAGCAAACTAAGAGGACATCGCCAAGCTCACTCAAGGGGATAGTCGTACCGGATGAAGTGTTGCTGATGACTTGCATACCAGGTACAACAGTCAATAGACTCATCTGCCTGTTCCTCTCCTATCAACGATAATTATTCCAGATCTGTTTGTTTAGATTTTAAGCTCAAGTTACATTGTTGTCAACATAATTTTGTTTTTGTTTTGTTTTGGGGAAAGAAGATAAGTTACTGTTTTCCGACTGGAAATGCTATCTCAGACTCTTTTGAAACATCTACTGTTTTGATTTGAAAGCGTAAAATCCTCACCACTTCTTAAGGGTTTTGTTCACACTGGTTCCACGAGTGCTCTGTCTATTTAAGAAAGTTTTTGTGATGTAATGTTGGTAGAACAAGTTTCTGTCAGTTTCCTGTTTTGATGGGGGTGTGGCATCACTTTTGCCTAGCCCACCACTTTCTTAATCTGTGATAACCATGCCATAAATCTGATTTCCAATGCCCCTCCAGCCAGAATTCAATTTCAATCCTCTGTTAAAATCATTAGCCCGTGGGGAAAAGTCCCCATAAGGAATTCATTCTTAGAGGTCACTGAATGAGGCATAAAAGAAGGCATTTCAAATTTGGGCCCTCAGAATGATCCCTTAAGATTGGACGTATCTGTACCCAGAGCCAGCAGGTAGAATTTGACCATTTCCCACAATGCACTGTGAACAATTGCCTGTCCTTGACAACCTTTGTGGTGGTGAACTGTGTTCTGAATCATCCGTGTTCCACAAGGATTCAGACCCCCCCTCTCCAAGTGCTGGCTTTCTCTCCCAACAGGCAGCCAGCTCCCCCTGACTCCTTCCTCTGCAACCAGGCATACACCGTGCTCAAGATCCTCAGCCAATACCGCGGCCTGGGTGTGGTCTATCTGTTTCCATGCCAGCGAGTGGGCGGTGCCCTGTCAGTCCAAGAGCAGATCTGTAACATCCATCAGCTACAGCTTGCCGTGCCCAATGCCCAGCAGTGTCGTTGTATTTGGCTCACAGGTACGAATCCACAAACCAGCTTAACAAGCATCAAAGAGTCACTCAGCAAAATATGGTGACCATTATAATAATCATCCCTCTAAACGGACTGTGGAGTGCATTCAATGTACATCAATGTACCCAGTTTCTCAGCTAGCTAATTACAGTTAACTCTTCAACAACTAGTGGCTTTCCCTTCTAATCCTTAGGGAAATAATGGCCACTTGTCACTTTCCGACATAAAAAACCTGACTGTTTTATCATATTGACGTTTGGGAATTTCAAACGGCAACTGCATAGTGTTCGGTAGGTTTTGTGCACAAAATATTGGGAGCCAAGGACAATTTTCATTACAGCCGAATGTTAGGTATAGCGGTGTTAGGTATAGCGACGTTCCACTGTACCTAGGCAGAGACTAGGAAACAAGCAAGGAATAAAGTAACCTAAATGTTCCAGTTTCTCTCTGCCTGCATGAAGGTGTCTGTATTATGTCCAAAGTATGCCCTGTTTTTCTCAATATCATTTCAAGATTGTTATCGTTATTTCAGATCTCCTCCTCGCAAAATCAGACCTGGACCAGTTCAAAGGCAGGAACATGGACGTGTGCAACATGAATACCCTGCTGACCAAGCTCCTGCCTGATGAGTCCATTCGTCAGCCTGGAGATGTGGAGAAACATCAGCCTGGCTCTGTCTGTTCCAATCGAGACATACCCCAACAAGTGAGGGAACTCTGCCTCTTTGTGACTAACCCCAGGATGAGCCATCGCCTGCCCCTGGAAGAGTAGTTTTCGACTCCAGAAAAGAGTAAAACTAATTAAGATTGATACTGGAATGATATTTGTTTTCAGAAAAACCATCTGTTTGAGCAAGAGAATTTGTGACTGAAGGAAAGACCCCCCAACTACCTTGAGACAATTTGCTCGGGAACCAACTTGAAATTTCCACCAGAAATATACAATCACAAACAAATTACCAGGTCTCTGTTACAAGTAAGAGTGGCATACAAATAACTTGGCTGTGACCCAGATTACCAGATTAATATGCAAGTTTGGGGATTTTTTTCCCATACCAGCTGTTTTTCAATAAAACCAGACATTAGAGGTTGGCTTTTTATTTAAGATGGCACCTTTATTTGGAGCAATATGCAATTTACGTCGTCATATTAAGCTTGTATAGTGCCCGGTTTTAGAGAAAGATTACAGTTGTTGCTCTTTAGGTTTAGAAGACATAATTTTTATTTTTCTTTATTTGAAAAACCTGTGTTCCATTGATTAAAAAAGCTTCTCTGTTCGTCATTCATCATGTTCCATATCTTTGTCTCAGAAGTTTCCAAAATTTGCCAAAATAGAGTCACTTCAGTAAAGTGGCACATTTTGGCACTTGATCGCAACTTTCACCAAGATTGCCAGTAAACCTTGATAGAGGATTGTGATGGCTGTGGAATGGATAACTTACCTGCGTATGGAAAAGAAGTAAGAAGTAATGTGTGCTTGTATTGTTGTGGAAATAACAGTCCAATGGACACAGAGTTGGTGTAAAACTCTGTCCAGTAATGAATGGTTGCATACAAGAGGTTCTAGTCATATTGAAATATCATGCCTTATGATTTGACAAAACTACAACCAAAGTGAATGGTGTACATGTTTTTAGTTTACCTATATTGTGTCCAATCTACATGTAAGCATCTTATCAGGACAGTAGTTAAACTTGACAAGGAACAAAACTGATATTTGGGAGGCAACATGGATGCCAAGATGTGCAACCTGACCCATGTAAAGCATTGCTTTACACATCCTCTGCAGCCAATGTCTTTTTTCGAATCCAAATTTTGCAGTCGGTGTTGAATTTGGGTTTGGAGGATATACGTGCATTATTGAGGATGGAGTTTATTTTTGGTGGTGAAAGAACAGTGGTTTTCTTATTGTCATTTGCCTCTTGCTATCTGTGCCATTAATTGTTGAAAAAGGGTTCAGGTTCTGTTTAGACCTGTGCTATTACATGTAAAAATAACATTTCAGGCAAAAGGAACGTTCATTGCTCAGAATGTTGGCCTAAGTGAAGCTTTGTTGTTCAAAACAGGGAGCAAAGTTTTTGGCCAAAAATTAAAAATAAGAGTGTACATACGACAGTGTTTTGCAGCTTTCACTCATGTCGCCCATGCACCTCTTCTACTCATTTCGTGCACTCATGACTTTTTAAGTTGAGGTTGAGTTGAGTCTGGATACTGTAATTTCAGCATGTGGAAAGATTGCCTCTTTCTGAGCTTACCTGTAAGTGAATCTACCAATGCAATAGAGTATACAGGTTGTCTTTCCAAATGAGTTTATATTTTATGGTACAGCAGCATTTTGAAACTATTCTTTCCCGTCCAAAATATTACTTTCCAAATTGATGTGACTGTGAAATGTTTATCAGTTTGCCTTCCTAGAGTAAACTACGCATTTATCATTCAACAGTTGATTTCTTTTAACCCATAAACCGGGCTTGGTCCAACGAGATTCTACGCATTTGCTACTCGACAGAGTCACGTAGAGGGTTGGACAAGTCCCACAGTGCACTGATTCCATCGCTACATGGTAGCACCATGAAAATATTGAAGTTGGGGCTCCCTACTGCTGGCATGTCTTCGCTGCTTGTCTTGAGAATAAGGTCATTTCATACTTTCTTGTGTGCAGTTACTTGACAACAAACAAAAATCATTGTAAAGTTCTCACTGTAATGAACAGTCGCTCTTATAAATATACAACTGGTGTTGCTAAACAGTAGCAATTGTTTATGCATTTTTGTCTATCAATACTGTTCATTGGTTTTTACTTAATTCGATGTCATTGTTGAGGCTGTTGTGCGTGTTGTTAATCCCCCCTGGTTTGTCCTTTAAAATTTTGTTTCAATTACTTTTTCCCCTGTCATTTTGTTCATACGAGTTTCCTCCCATTGTAATGTTATTTTAGTTGGTCAGGTACTTTGTCCTCATGTACATCTAATACGTTGTTGGTTTTGATATTCCACACCTGTATACAGAGACTCATGTTGTATTGAAGTGTTTGATATGCCCAGACTAATAGCCATTGAAGTTTAATAAAGAAAGTTTACTTTTTATATTTGAAAAGAAGTGGAATTGTTTCAATTTGCGTGGTTTATTGGAACTTCCAGTTAACTTATTGGAATAACAGATAGCGACTACATTGTATACCATCAGCCAGAATTTCGTTATTATTTAATGCTTGGGGCTGTATAAATGTACACAAACACTACGTACATGTACTTTAGTGGCCCAATTGCGTTTTACTCAACGTAATCATACGAAAAGCGATAGTGTTCGGAGACTCGCCACTGTCAAACCCTCCAATAGAAAAAAAATGAGATTGCATGCTTTGGTTCTGCACCTGTAATCAATCAATTGTTGCAAATTGTTATACTGAAATACTTTCGAACGAGCTTTCCAAATCGATGCAACAGCAATAAATAAATCGCGTTGAGCAGCCGATTTCGCAGAACCTGCTGCCCTTGACTTCGCACTTCATACAAACGAGCAATTTTCGCCAGAAGTTTGTGGTGGAGAAGCGCACGTACCAGAACTGGATGAACACTCGCTTATTGCGTAGTTATTGCGCATGTGCTGTTCACCACGTGGTGTGCCTTTTTGGACTTCGACCCGCGCGCTTTATCAACGTGCACTCAAGCATGAAGCACGACCACTACCCGGATCTAATCAGAAGTCGATCACTGTTGTGTTTGCTTGCTGTTTGTCATTGATCCCATTGCGTGTGTGCACTGCAGTTAAATTAAAAGCGAACGCTTTAAAATGAACTGTTCGTGCTAATTGACTTTGGTGGTGATTGTCTGGAGAGCCAGGAAAGTGGGTTCACGCCTACCGCTACCAGCTGTCCAGGGGAGTTCGGAGGGAGCAGGACCCGGCTACACCACGGCGGTGCCCACTCATCTCAGCGGAGACGATGGCCGTCATCGGTGTACATGTACGCGTTCAACTAGTGGCCATTGCTCTCGTCATTGGTGTGCTGGGGGTGTGGGGAGAATATACAGAACCTTTCTTTGATCCCGACTGTTTCAGCACAGACTGCTCCTGGTCGTGGGATGTGAGTAGATAATTATTTGTGTGTTTATACTGCGACCATAATTATGCAGTACTTGAATCATGAAGCTGAATTAGAGAATATTTCCACTTCTACACACAGCTTTTATTATGTTCATACATGTACGTGTATCTCCAATGTTGCTTGCGTAATAATAATAGGAATAAAATGCTTTCATATTATCATTATTGTTAATGGGCCGGATAGACGGATCTTCATGTTTGGTTGATTGCCCTGTAGGAAGCACCAGACTTAATTCACTGCCTTTTATATTAAGTCTTCCACAACTGTGAATTAAAAGGAATTTTGTAAGACGATTGACAGATCATGTCAACAGATCAACCAGTACATGTAGGCCTACACTGCAGAGCAGTGATCAATCTATCTCGCCAATTAACGGCTTGCACCCAACATCATATGAGCTATTGTTGACCAGCGTCCAATTATCAGGACCTGTGGTGTGGCATTTTTTTCTTATGAGTGATACATACATCCAACGTGAAGTAATATATGATAAATTTTCTGACATTACAGGTACATTCTTTGCTAAAGTGTTCAAGTTGGGACTGGGATTTTGCAAAATACCAACTTCAATGAATATATGAAATCTGCTCCAAATGATAAAGTTTATTACCTGCAGAACATGGAACAAAACAGGACTGATATTTAACTCAACCATAGTTTCGGACATAAATACTTGAAGTTCAACCTTCTAAAACGTATTTTAATGACCTATCAGATACGTTACCACCATTGTAGTTATACGAAAATTGTTTTTGAAACAAAATCTGGTGTTGTCGGTATAGGCCTATGGAACTTTTTCCATTAGGGCACATTTTGCATGGGCAGTGACAGATCCAGGGGGCATGGGGACACATGCCCCCTTCACCCAAAAAATAAATAAGTAGTAAAAGAAGAAAAGTAGGAGGGGAAAAAATCAGGTTGGGGTAGTGGTTCTTTCCTCATCTTCCACCTCAGTGGTCCCGGGTTCGATTCCCAGCTTGGTCCACATGTGGATTGCGTCCCTCCCTGATTAGGTGGGTCTTACCCAGAATGCTCCTCTGGCGTTATCCTCCCACCTCTAAAACTGTAACTGCTCATTGTCTCATGTCTACAGCTTCTTCAAGGCTCGCGAGCGTACAGTGCCTATACAGTGCTCAGTTGAGGAATCCTCGGTGTCATTGCCAGATAAAAATAATAATAAAAGAGGGAGAGACCCAGCTGCATAAAATGTGACAAAGGCGGAAAAAACAACAGACTCTGCTTTCGGAATACCCAACCTCCTTAATTTTATGGTTGTGACCCTAAAATTTTTAGTTCACGCCCCTCTTTTGAAAATTCTGGATCTGCCCCCGAGGAAGGGGGACACTTAAGATGCACTTGCTGTTGTTGGGCACAGTTAAAAGACTAACCAAGGTTGATTTTCCCCCTTAATGTGGGGATGGGGTGCATTGGGGTATGGGTCTCTAGCAAGGGGGGAGGAGAAGGTTTCATGAAAGGACTGATGTGTCAAAGTTTGTCACTTTGGGGGAATCTTGAGTTGTTTTAATGTTTTCATTTAAAAAGCCTCAAAAAGATTGCCCAGTGCATTTCATTTTGTCGTTCTTAATGCACCAAACAGGATGCAATAATGTAACAATGAAGGTGTGGGAATAAGAGTGTGTGAGTTAATATCAACAGTCACCAAAATGCACAGTGGCTGTCATTTGGAAAGTTCTCAACAAGACAAGTAATTCTAAATCTTGTTGGCTGTAACAGAGCCACTGTTGACAAATGCATTGCTATTTTAACATGATGCTGTAATAATAGCAGGGGCGTGTCCAAGAATTTTAGGGGAGTGCACAAGTTTCTATAACTTTCTTTCACCTTTAGCATGCATATGTGAGCATGTACATTGTATAGTGAACTGCCGTGGACTTTGATGCTAATTTAGCAGCGAGTAAGTGTTGTCATTTGATTATTGTTTGATGTACAGTGTATATCGTTTAAAAGTCACCAACTTTGGATAGAGGAATGCTAAAATAATGAAAGGAATTGAAATTTTAGAAAAACCAAAGGAGCAACTTTAGATCAGTATTTTAATCCAGATGGGGTAGAAAATAAAATTAAGAAGTTGAAAAATCAACCTGTAATCAAGTTACCAGAGTGAGCGCATTTTCATGTACCGGTAGTTTCAAATGAAAAAAATTGGTGTGACCTGTGATTGTGTGCTAAAGCCTTTGTGTAGAAACACACAGTGTTTTGACCACTTCGCACAGTGGATTAATCGAACTGATAGATCCTGGTGTTTTCTAAGTGATATACTTCCTTGTGCCACACCCAGCACTGGAAAACCCATTCTAACCATGGCCAGCCTAATATAAACTCACTTGAAAAGCATAATTTACAAAGTCTTTGAGAATCTGAATCTTGTTTGTTTGTGGCTTTTGTTTTATATTTATTGTAGAAGTCAGAGAAAACAGAGAAGAATGTGCAACTTCCATTTGGGTGGAGTTTTCAAAATCTGAATTTTGTTTGTCAGTTACGAAATTTGTCTTTATGAAAACAGATTAAATGCAACTTTTCAAATAACCAACAGAAAGAGTTCAAACTGCCATCTTTAAAACAAACTCTGTTTAATAGTCAAATCAACTGTTTATGATTTTTTCTGGTGATAAAATTTTTTAATATGATCAGATCTTACATGAACAAAGTTGTTGATTATTTTTGATAATTTGTAATTGGGGTATCAATTCAGTGAATTAGGAAACTCTTTGTGCATGTATGATACACAATATGAGGTGTAGAGAGAGGTATTATTGCAGATCATTGCAGCAGATATCGGACACATAAACAAGTCAGACACTGTACTAAATTTCCAAACTATTTTGATTTAGGGCTTCACCCTCCCTTTCAGGTGGTTTAATTAAATCACCATTTGAGCGGCGAGATAAAACTGATTTGGTATAATTGTGAAAGTGTTCAGACGCCATTTTAGCAGAGAAGTTACACCGAATCAGTTTCAACAACGATGTCTGAACACCCCCCCCACATGCAAGTTTTTCTTTTAGTTTTTTCAGCAGTTAGATATTTGTTGAATTTATTCATTCACATCAAATAGTTTAATTGCTGTAGTTGACTTTCATAATGATAATCCACCTGAATTGAAACCTGCAGAAATACATGTCAGTTAAAAACAGAAGTTTTGTTGCCTGACTGTACTGTAGTGATCAAATTTCCTAAAGTTTTCCTTTTGGTAACAAACAATTAAATTTTCAATTACGGGTTTTTCCCTATAGGTACACCGATGTATTGCTTGTCCAAGAGTTTGTGAAAAATGAAAGACAAATGATTTACTTCAGCATAACATGACAACTTTTTTCTGCAAGCCTGTTGTTGATCCATTGTTTCTCATGCACTCAGCTTTATTTGGTTATTTCACAGGCTACATATTTTCCCCTTTCACAAAAATGTGCTGGCTGGGTACATGTAAGATCACTTTAGAAACTGAATCGGTTTTGGTTTGCAAAGGGAAGGAAATGCCACACGTTCTGCAATGCAGCCCACAGCATGGCACGGCTGGGTACCATAGGTTTTGAATGTGCCAACCTGAAGGACATCTATTGTGGCTATTGACTCCGAGTTTGTCAATTTTTTTTTCCTGAAGTGCAGACAATAGGCTGGTACTTCAAAACCTCTTGGGAAATGACAAGGGGATTTCCCCCCATGGGCCCTTGGTAGTCGGACAATATGGTCAGCATTTCTTGACCAAATAGCATTGTTTTTTTTGGGGGGACTACATAAAGTGGTCACACATTGTACAATAGATCATTGAAGAGTAAACTTGTTTGCAGTCAAACGAGAAAAACCAGAAAACTGCTGCAGACCCTACTTAAATTTGTTTTTCCCCAAATATTTCAGGGTAAAGTGAAACAAAAAAGGTAGTTGTGTTTCCTGTTTAAATAGGGAAGGTAAAGTACTGTTTAAGGTACATGTACTGATAGGTAAGTTAGTGAAACTGGGTAACGAGAAACAACTTAGGCCTTTTCGTGGTTTAAATTTGAAGATTGTAAACTTGTGCCGCAATCCATGCATGCTTTAAGAAGCTCTTTCTTAAAAAAACAGTTTACAAATCGATCAAGAGTATTGCCCTCAAATCAGTTTTTAAGGCAAACATTAATAAGTGGAAATTAGGTTTTCAACACATTAAAAAGTGTCTCAAAACCACAGATAATTGTTCCTGCAGAGGACAAAGTGCAGTAAATTCAAAAGTTCTTCTGCAAGCTGTTTTTGCTGGATTTCAGCGGTGTCATCTTTGATTCTTAGTGTATCAAATCTGATTGAAGCTGAAACATTTTCAAAGTGTGCACTGCCAACTTGGGTGACACTGATTGTGTTGGTTGGCCTAACAGGCGCGGCATTGTTAGGTTTTTCAAAGGGATTTTTTCCATGATTCTCTCCGCTATGCAGTCCTTAAAAGGCAGTCATATGAAAGGCCTGTTATCAGTGAACCAGTTGACCAAAGAGGAGTGGCTTTTGTGTGTATGGGGGGATTCCAGAGTAATTCATCAGGGTCAGTGATGAATAGACTAAACACAAAGAAGTTCAGTTTCACTTTTGAGGATGGCATTTCAAACTGGCAACAAATATCTAATTACATCAGGGCCGTCCAGTTCCTTTTTTTGTCACAATTACTGCAATCTCAACTTTTCTTGAAATGTATTGTCTTCATTACAGATAATATATACTTATTGTGATATGATTCTGTAATTATGATTCTGTAATTGTTAAGATTTATGTACAAATGTACACATAATGTATGTTCTTCAGAAATGTCTGAGTAAAAAGCCACCATGCTGGTGGATAGGTACATGTTCATGGGTAATTCCAGAAATTAGGGATCCAAAAGTGTGACACTTTTGGGTCTCTGTTACATCTGACCTTTGTTATTTGACATGGAAATATCTCTGGAATTGATTTCAAACTATTACTATTTGTTTGGTAGGTAATTTGCATTGAATCATCACTCTTGGAAATTTGGAAATGTGTTCTGAACTTACAAAATCATATGCCCGATGTGACAGGGACACGAAAAAAAATGGACCCCTAGTTTCTGGAATTACCCACTTGCCTTTGTATTGGTTTTCCAACCTGTTATTTGACAATTGTTTTTCAACAACCCTTAAAAGCTAATATATACTGGTTTGTAAACGAACAAGACTTTTTCCTCTTTTGAAGGTGTGAGTATTCACACAATTACCAGTTCTAGCAAGTTACTAAATTGGGTCATTCCATTCCTAAAAACAGATCACGTGAGTCAAGAATAGAAATCAAGATGCAAAATAAAGTAACTTTCTCATGCTTCAAAAGCATGTGGATACATTTTGAGAGCCAATCTACGAAAACGGCAAGTCCACGCAGATCTCTGTCAGATTATGTATGTTTCAAGTCAGGCATTTTACTTGAGAGGAACATTTTAATTTACAAATGCATTGGTGTACTGTGCATGTTGCCAGCTGAAAAGTCTTTCACCCACCCCATTTGTGGATAAAGGACTCCTTGGGTTAAGGCCAGTTTAAATTACTGTTTGGTGTGCATCACTCAGGTTGGAAAAAACTTGCCAGGGTAGGGAATGTATATTAAGTTAATAATTTCCGCATCTTTGCTGTTTGCAATGGAATGTGGGGGACCATGGTTGAATGCATGTACAATGCAAAATGCTTAATTATTAACCCCTCGACTTCATAAAGTATTGTTAAATTGAATCTAGTGCATGAAACATCATCATTGGCCTGAAGATACATGTGACTGGCTGATGTGGTGTTAACCCCACACAACTACCGTAGGTTTGACTCAGGACTACAGTATTGCTGAGCAAATAAAATCCAAATCCTTTCCCTATTTTTATGCAATATAGGAGACTATGAAAGTGATCATCAATTTTCTGCTAGATATACTGCTCGAAGAAAACAACAATCTTTCAGACTATATTTACAGAACAGTATCAAATTGCAAACAAAGAATGTGGTCAGGTGTGCAAATCTAGACCGATAGCAGTGGCAGCCTACGGATTAATTTTGACTGACCTACTCAGCAACTGATAAAATGCCGGTTGCCCTTATGTTTCAGTGGAAAACAGGTGGAAGAGTCAGTTCAGAGAATCAGTTCCTGTTTGTTATTACCACAGATGAGTGGCTTGAATGACTGCTGTTCTTTGAAATAACACCCTTTGCCTCCGGTGAGAGAAAAAAACAATTACAGTTGACAAACATCAGAATTGAAATTGACCCTCCCCCACCAACTGTAATTAACCATTTTCCACCAGGACATTGATGGGAATATTGAAGTAGACGTGGCATTTGCTGGTCAGCAGTGGCTATGTAAATCAGTCACAACTGAAAGCAGCGTGACAAAGTAATTCCATTTAATGATCGCAAATGCTGTGCGTGATAAAGGAGGGAAAAATGAGGGTATAGTCATCCATTATATGCAAAAAGACATTTACAATGAAGTCAGTTATTGATTTATATATAAAGGCATTAAAAATTGTCCTTTTACGATGAAAACTTATCACACCTGGCATAGTGCTATTGTATAGATTCTTTAAATTCAATTAAAACAAATCTGTATAAATTGTTAATATTGTAGCACAAATTGGTCAACTCTTACTTCTTGCATGCATGAAGACTCTCCCATGAGAACAGTTTCATGTGTTGTCGGCAAAGTTCACGGTCAAGTGTTTGTTGTTTTTCACCATGGAAATCTTAGTTTTGTACAATTTAAGTGCTACCTTGAATGATGCATTAACTTGAATGTTTAGTGGGTGAAAACGGGGTACCAGTGCATGTGCCCTTGCTCGCTGGGCTGTTTTTGTCTGTGTGCAGAACCCAATTGGGCATATTAGCGATCCTATGATGTTTTGAGCACCCAATGGGCTATTTCCATCGCCAAAATTGGGGCGCTTCATTCAGAGTTGCTAGGTGAATTTTTAGATCACTTGCCTCTTTGTTTATTTTGGATGCGGGTTACGGTGCGCCAAACAAGACAATTGAGCTTTCCGAACTGTAAGTAAGAATTAGTGTTTTTTCCACCTAGACATGTTTTCTGAGCTATTAAATTAAGGCAAGTCAAGCTTGGATTTAGCTCGCGCACGGTAATTTGTAATTCTGTTGTTTTAGTGGGTTTTTGCGGAGAGAAATATGCTGATTGTGGATTGGTTACTTTGGCCTGTTTAGGTCATTAGCAGAGGCCCTATTGCCTACCGAGGTAACTGAGGTTACAGTTTTGGAGGTACATGTACCTCCTTTGGTGTTAATTGAATAAACAGATGAGATAAGTTATTCCCTGTCTTGGGTGCTAGTTACTTGTATGTCCGATAGGGTTGCCTGCAAGTGTTGATATACTTTCCACAAATGGACTCCCCGGGCCCCCCGAGTTGTTGAGAACCCGCGGAGGGGCAATGTTTTTAAAGTAAATCTGTGACTTTCATTCAATGTCCTCTCTTATTTCTATTTACTTCATTTATCCAACTTTTTTAATGTTCCCTGTTTTTTGAAAGGGGGGAGGATAAGTGCCCCCTTTTGGCACTTGCCCTCACCTCTTGCCAAACAATGTTATTGACAGTTGCTAAGCAGCTGCATAATGTTTATCCTTGAATACAAACGTATTGGCCATGTGTTCTTTCTGATTGGCCAGAAACTGAAATTTGCAGTGATTGTAAGCCAAAAATTTGTCAAATAGTAGGCAGTTCTTTTGATTTCTGTGGTTAAAGCCAAAAGCACAGACTTTGTCTTAGCTAAATTCTTTAATGCAAAGCAGATTCGACCCTTGTTGGTTCGACCATGATGGGTTAGGTCTTAGCTCTAAGACTGGCCAAGGATTTTCAAAGGGATGATGATTTACATACATTGGCTTAAACACAAGCAGAGACCTGAGGGCTTAGAGAAAGACTTGAGC